TGAGATAATCTCGCTCTATTCATTAAAGATTTGTTATTTACAGTGGATGAACTAGAACATTTTCATGCATCTCATAAATTGTGCTAATTAATAAATTGAAGTCTTCGGGTTTGAGATCGTTAACTCCAACTCACTTGGTACTTTCGAATTACTTTGCAAAACTATCAAAAAACTAAAGTTAACCTACTTTTTTCAGTGAAATCTTATTAGTTCGCCATAAAATGATTGCATTTCAATTCATGAAGTAGTGGATGACAATGAAACTAGGTTATATCAAGATTAACCCTACTCTAAATACAAATTTCCATGGTCTTGGACAAAAAGAAAAAACAGTTAAGGAGAAAGAAATTATGCATGCATTGATGCATGCCTTCATATAAAAGTAAAAAAAAGGTTCCAATGCTTAGTATAGAGGGCAAGCATATACTTTGTACGAAAATTTTTATATTCTACAAATTTTTTATTTTATTTTTTAAAATATATATATTATAAAAAAAAGGAAGAAAAAGAGGGGGGAAATGCACTAGCTTATTGGTGGATGCACGTTTAAGCGTGGGCCTTTAGAAAAGCACCACATGCAAAGTTGTAGTGTTTAGAGTACTAAAAAGTAAAAAGGTTTTGCACTTGTTTGTTTGTTGAGAAAAATTTAGAAACATTAAAATAAAAATGAATTGGTGATGTTGGGTCACTTTGAGTTGTAGGCAAAATCAGGGGTATTGACCTACTTCCATATCTTAGATGATGCTTTTTCTTTGTAGCCAATTACAAAGTGGTCTTCGATTTTGATCATTAGAGCTTTCCATGCTGCCACCAGTTATTATTAATTTTTTGATTCTAAATGTTAGGTTTTGTTGTTTAGGGTCATGTTGAGTAATTTAAATAAATAAATAACTTTCGATAATTTAGCATTCGTATGATTGTATCCTTTTAAGTCGGACATAAAGATTGAACTAACCGGAGTAACTATGGAGTAGTTTAAACTTTAAAGTTTATTCTATTTTTGATCTTAATGTACGTTCTAAATCTTATGTTCTCTTATATATTCAAACCCTAATCAATCTTGGTATGTATTCTTGTACTAGATTTAATTAATAATTGAACCATCTAGCTTGGCCGGCCATGTTCAATCTCCTAAGCTAAGCTAGTTTCTCACCATTGTCTTTGAGAGTAGTTCTTTGTAGCACGTAATCTTCAAGTTGGATCAATACAAATTATACAGTGCTTAATACTGCTTACTACCTAATCAAAATCACACGTTCCATTAACATAATGCAAATAGTTTATTTGCTATTGTCTATGTTATCAAAATTAAAAAAAAAACAAAAAAAAAAAACAGTTCTAAAAAAAAAAAAAAAAAAAAAAAAAGAAGCAATATTAGGTTAACAAAATATAAAAATGGTGGGTAGTATAGAAGATAGAAATGGGGTAATGCTACTGTCGTAAAGATTGAGTGTACTTGCATTCAATTAGAAACCAACTATAATATCGAGAATGCACCTTTTATCATTTTTTGTTGCACTTGAATGATCCTTCTTTTTATACCCTTTAAGTTGATTTTGGATGTTGACACTTCGAAATTTTGTTGGTGGGTCTATTTTTATTATTCGTAAAATAGTAAACATACTGGTAAATTATACATTATGACTGTACTCCCAGCTTAATTGCCATGCAATTTGGCTCATCCACTTTCTATGATCTGAAAGATCTTCAATGTCACCCACTAATGATAGATATAAATTCAACTAATGGAAAATTAAACTCTGTACTTCGTGTTACTTATATGACCTTAACTTTATTATTTATTTATTACTCTGTATTATACGGAGTATAAGACTGATAAAATATAAGTTACCTATGAACTATTGTCCAATTATATAGAAAAATTAGAGAAGACAGATAACTAATATGGAGTATACAAGTCTGACAAGTTCATATATTTTTACTTAGGAAAAATTCATACCATTAATCCCAATTATTGGATGTCTTCTCATATTAATCCCAACTATGGGTTATTCTAGAATAATCCCAACTATGGGAGGTGTCTTCTAGAATTGATTTGTGACCTGTTTTAACTTATTAAACCGGTTGTTTGTATGAGGTGGCATATTGTGATTGGCTTATACTTTTTTTTTTTTTTTTTTAAACAATCTGCAATAATATATCTTACAAAAAAAAAAAATCGACCCTGTCCTTTTTAAATTATTGAGTTCAGGGAAGAAGACAGAAAGAGAAGAGCTTACATTGTTGATTGAACATGACATCAATGAGAAAAATTCCAATACAACAACATACAACTACTGTACAACCTATCTATACTACTTATATAAACTATCATTGTCGTTTATGATTTTTCATTATATAAATTATTGTTGTTTGTCCTTTGATTTTAAATGAAAAAACACAACAATCATTATTTTTTAATGAAGAGGAGAGAAATTAGGGGCAATATGAAGTAAGGGAATGAAAATGCAATGGAAATATGAGGGATCGGAGGAGCTGAACTTGATCGGTGCGTGTTGAGTAAAAGTAGTAATACGGCAATACGCTGATCAGTGGTGTAGATATGGTGTGCGGTGTTTTGTGGCTAACAAAGAAAGCGATAAATGGTGGTTATTTGTTCAAACCACCCACCGAAAGGAACGAATGGGAAGGTCGTGATCGCAGCCGAGGTGGACAGTGGTCAACAATGGCATTAAGAGGAGAGAGCAGCAAAGGAGACATTGAGCCATTAAGGGCAAGCAAAAAAATGGTGCACATACGTAGGTGGCTGGGTGGTGGAGGGGAGCAAAATAGGAGTGGTGGACCGGTGGTTATGGAGCTGGGCAAGGGGAGGAGAGAGAGTGATGTTTAAAATAAAAATATAAAAAAAACTTTACCTGTTTACCCGGTTACAAGTCATACGGGATCATTTTTGGAAGACACTCTTCATAGTTGGAATTATTCTATAATAATCCATATTTGGGATTAATTTGGGAAGACAATCAATAGTTGGGATTAATCATGTGAATTTTTCCTTTTACTTATATAATACGAAGTTACATAATAAATTTCAAAGAAATGCTAATTCTTACGAAGAGATTTCCAAGATTAAGTACAGCAAATCAAATTAAATATTTTAATGATCAACTTATGTTGAAACCCATTGTAGCCCACTTGTGAGTGTCTCACATGGTAGAAAGAGTATAGATGGTTCCACTTTATAAGGTAGAGGTGTTACTCCTATTATTGTCAATTGGTTTCGAAATTTAACAACTCATAGCTGCTTAAAACAATGACAAAATTATTGTAAGACATATATGAATTGCAATTTGCAAGAACATCTTTTTCCTCCAATTCAATTTAACGTAGCCAACAACTCCCCAATAATCAAAACACAATCAATCAATCACCGTCCATTTTTGAAGTCAGAAGGTTGATTTATTGAGTTTACAGTACGTACATGACATATTTATAGGGCAATTTTGTGTGGATAGGGTAAACTCCTAGCTTTACCTATCAAGTATAAATTCATGTTTATGATAATTTATGTATCTTTGCATTTAAAGTGAACATACTTCACCTCTTATGTAAATAACTGAGATTTTGATGTAGACTTTTACAGACATTAATAACTACTTTCATTATGTAAGGTAAATTGGTAAGAGTAATGTACATAATGTATGAATGCATTGCACTCGTACCAAACAATATCATTATTCATTACTATGGCTTTTAATTTCATTTCAGAGACGTTTTTTCACATAGTATAAGAACTCTGATCTTCATTCGAAAGAATAAAAACATGGCCAAGTTATGTGAAGATGATTTGCCTAGTTGCTGTAAATTCATGTGAAGCAGTGAATGGAAGTTGTACATTCTGACTGAAATTGCAAGTTGATCGATGAAAACTAGCTTAATAAACCTATCTTGTACTGCTAAAACGTTTTTTTTTTAAATTGTACGTTTTTTTCACATTAGAGACAACCACATGCATAATAGAGTACTCTTTAAAAAAAATACTCCATAGTGAAGTTATCCCTACCATCACGACGTGGAACCTCTTGAAGTGCGTATGATACATAGATATTTCAAAAAACCAAAATTCAAAGATCTGAAATTGTGTGTAGAAAGAGAAGTACTTGTAATTTGGAGGCAAAAAAGGCTATGAAAACGGGAGTAGAACCTAAGCATTACTGTACTGATTTTTATGATGTCATGCATGTATAGCAGATGAGCCATGCCAGCCAATCCAGGCTGTGTTAGCTGTTTCTAAGACTAACCATGACACTGTCTGAGCTGAGGCTACTAAACAACTTAACAGCTATGCTCACCTTTTTAGCTTGTTCACTTGTTGAGGTTAAGCCACTACTACTGTCATATTGTCAGAAATGAGTGCAGTACATAGCTCAGTCTCAGTTTAAGAGTTTGGCTCCTAAACCCTTTTCTTGTTTAGGGCCTTCATTTTTGGATTGGGCCATTTCAAGTTTCAACTCTTTACATCTACTACTATGTGCCAACAACAGGCTTAAAACCATCAGACATCAACCTTATAACATGGTAGTATGGTACTCGATTGACTAGGCTTGTTAAGGCTTGGCTAGTGCACTGATGTAGCAACAATCAATGTCTGGTGGTTTGAGAGTGACTGTGGTAGGTCCTGGCTGGGCTAATGAGACTGATAGTCAAGGACTCGAGGCCTCGAGACAATGGTGGTGTAGAAGGAAAACATTGGAGGATGGGAGCCCAAGGGTGAGGAAAACTGGTTCAAGGTAAAATTATGGCCTTATGGGCCTTTATGGACAATTGGTCATGGTCATGCCTCATGCCATTAGTTTATTCAGCAACAGAGGAAATACTCCACAGTAGTTTATTGTACCTCCATATCGAAATAGCACTATCAAACAAACAACAACAACAAAGCCTTAATCTCAAAATGATTTTGGATCGACTAACATGAATCCTTATAAGACATCGTACGATATAAATAGCACTATCAAACATAACATAAAAACTTTCGAACATTGACTAATTCAAGGAGCAATTCAATTGAACAAGCAACAAATATATTTAGTACATTAGCTTGAGATATATCACCATCTCAAAAGATTAAAATCACATATTTATATACATACATGATACATCTATCCAATGGCTATGAAATCAGTTTAAGCTAAAGAAGTACCAACAAGTGAAGAGACTACTTTTTATTAATAACAACATAAAATTTCAATTTTGGGACTCTAATTAAAAAGATTAAGCAACTTAATATCCTATTTGAGCAGTAATTCATCAAGGATAGATATACCACCATAACCCTCTGATTCAATCTCATCCGTCCATCATCATCATCATCATCTACCGGTTTCGAGATCCAACGCATCTAAAGCCTCGATATCTTGATCAGAAGGACTGAAATGTATCTTCTTCTGAAACCCTAAACCACACAGGATCATACCACCTTCTCCCTTACTTTTTCCCGCCATTTCTCTCCTCCCATTCAACTCCTTCAACACATTCGAAGTTGAAGCCGAAGATGAGTTCGATGCAGTCGACTCACTCTCATCGGAGTAATCAACCGAGTCACCGCCGCATGACTCGCTGCCGGAACTGAAATCGGAAACGCCACGACGGTGATGATTTCTCCGGCGACGATGATGAGTTTCCCCCATGAAATCACGGTAACCAATCGCCGATTTTCCGGCGAGTGAAAACCCTAACTCCGACGACGCATCAATCACCATTGCTCCAACGTTGAGAATCCCATGGAACCTTCCAGAAGAACGTCGGATTTGGACGGCGACGAAAGAAGGAACACCGACGGAATGAAGAGAGAGACAATTACTGACGAGAAACCTAACGGAGCCGAGAAGCGCGTCTTTGAGAACACCGACGGCGAAGATATCGACGGTGAAGGAGGAAGTATCGGAGAAGAGAAATTCATCGGAAACCCTAAAAATGAACTTGTCATTCCAAGAAGGGTTTTCGCCGCCGATACGATCGACGCGAGAACGGAGTTTGCGAGAGGGGTTAATATATGCGACGGCGTAAGTCTGAAGGCGTCGGAGATTGGTGGAAGGGGGTTTGAGATTTTGGGCGGAGATCAGGTTGATCTCAAGAAGATGGGTAGTTTGATGATGGGATGGTGTTGGTGTAAGTGGTGGAAGAGATGCAGGGGAATTCATTTCTTTCAAGAAAGTTCTTGAAATTCAAGGTTTTGATGGGTTTAATGGGTGTTGATGAAGGTGGTTGTGGTGGTGGTGGTGGTGGTGGTGATAGAGGCAGCGGCGGCGGCGGGGAGGAGAGAGAGGAAATGGCCGCGCAGGAGTGTGGTGAATTCCGAGAAGAGTGGATAATGAGAGTGATGGTGTATATATACGGTCTGATTTTTTATTTTGTTTTTTTGTCTTTTTCATTTTATTTTTTATTTATTTATTTATTTGTTTTTTATTTATTTTTTTTTTTTTTTTTGTAGAATTTGACAGTTGTCATACAATAGCATGGCACAGCTGGGTTTTTCTACCGTGTTGGGAAAAAAAAAAAAACACCATAAGCAAAATTAATTTATACGGATTACTGTTCAAAAAAATACTATGGAGTATATATAAACTGTATTGTGCCCTTGCTATGTACTGGACAGCTAAAGTATTCATAATAATGTTGCCTATAAAAAGAAATTCATAATAATTTTAATTTATTTGTTACCATATGTTATTGATTGCAAATTATATGTCATTGATTGTAAATGATATGCAATATTGCAATTTTATTTATTTATTTGGCAATAACGTAAATGATATGCAATAACGCAAATAATAATGGTAGAGATATTTTCTTTTTCAGGTGGATTTAGTTGTTTTTTTTTTTTTTTTTTTTGGTAATATATGGTTTTAATCTCTATAAGGTTATGATTAATTGATTGTAATGTAAATTAATATAGATTGATGGAAGTCTATAATTCACAATAAAAATATATATTTTCTTATTTTCTATAAAAATGTACTATATACTTATGTAAGTATTTAAGCTGGAGTTACGAAAACAATTTTGACCTATTATTTATTGTTACGAGTATTTTATTTTAAAAACATTTCACATACAATTTGACTATTTGAGATTAAGTTTTTCAGTTTTACTTCTCCCCGTACATGTGGCTCTCTAAATACCAAAAAAAAAAAAAAAAAAAAAAAAAAAAAAAAAAAAAAAAAACTTCTCCCCGTACATAACACAATGTAGACAAAGCTATAAAAAAAAAACCGGTAAACAACTAAACACTATGTAAAATTGTAAATAAAACACATAATCCCTTGTAAAAAAATAACCCTTCCTTTGTAAAATTAGCTTTAAAGCAGTCAGTCATTCAGAGGCAACCTAACAAACCCCAACTTTCAAATTCAATTTCCTTCAAGCCATCTACTCAAGTGATCATTTTGATGATCAGGTTCACAAGATTGAACAATTTAACTGTTGCAGATTTGCAGAAATTAAGAGGAGCTTCTACCAAAAAAACAGAAAACTGTTCTTTATTTGTAACAGAGAAAAATATACAACCATTTCAACTTTATCACAGAAAGTCACTCCAATACACAGCACTCATACAAACACTCACAAATTCAACATTACAAGAGTATGTTCAGGATGCAATGCCTAGTGACCTTTCTCTTGGTGAGCCATTAGCAGGTTTCCCACACGAAGAACGGGAGACTCTAACTTTTGGATGCTTTGCTGATTTTACGCTTTTCTTCTTTGCAAGCTTCTTTTCCAAGTCTTTCACCTTCCCATTCAAACTAGATATGACTTCTTGCTGCTCCTTCCCAGCGGCAAGTAGCTTTTCCAGCATCTCTCTTAGCTTCTCATTCTCTTCTACTATTTTCTTATCAATTTGCTCATCCTTTGTATCTCCTACAACCGAGCTTCGATCATTTAAGGATTCTCCCATAGTTCCTTCTTTCTCTTTAGATTGCTGCACATCAGATTCTGGATGTTCTGGCTTAACAGTTTCAGACTCGTTCCCCTGATCACCAGATAAGAACTCTGATGTATACTCATTGTAGTCAAATGGATCTATGAGTGATGTAGAACTTGAAGAACATTCCACATTGCTTTCTAACCTCTCCACCCTAAACTCGTCCTCATTTTCTTTATGGGGTGGGACTTCAACACCACCTTCTACCGGAACACCAGGTTCCACTGCAAAGACCTCCCCTTCACCAGATTCTGGAAGCTTGCTGCCTACCTCCTCCAGAACTGGCATTTCAATGTTTGCAGGGACGACATTAGATCCAGTTTTCTGGCCATTTATGGTCTCCTCGCTAGACATTTCAAGGGCCTCGTGATTTTCATGCTTACTGACTACAATTCTCTCATTTCCTGCTTCTAGCCCCTCGCCAGGTTGATCCAACTCTTGATCATTGTTCGAGTTTCCTGAAGTCTTAGCCTCAGTTAGCTCCTTGCCATCTTCTGGAGAACTGAGCTTGGAAGCGCCTAAATCATGCTCTGTCAGTGAAATCTCCATTTTGTCGTCTTCCTCGACAACCTCTACAGGCAGTTCAGAGAGAAAATCTGCTTCGTGCTCCCCATTCCCAGCAACGTCACTCTGCCCTGCTGTGTCTTCAGCGATGTTATCATTAGAGAGCAACTCCTCATTGACCTCTTGAGGCAGTAATGGCTGATGTTCCTCCTGATCCTTAATTCCAGAAACCAGACCATTCTGCACTGCTGTCTCCTTAACAGGGCTCATGGTAACTAAAGACTCCTGCTCAACAACCTCTTGAGGTAGTTCAGATAGTAGATTTGCTTCCTGATCTTTGTTCCCATATACTATATCATCCTCCATGACTGTGTCCATTACAGGATTTGCTTTGACTAGCAACTCTTCAGGTGGTTCTATTGGTGATTGTCCCTGGACATTATCACTTGCATTCGGCGGCTCTATTATTTCCGAAACCAATCCAGCTGCTACAACATCCCCATCTCTTCTTGCTGGTGAAATCACATTCTCATCTTGAGGTCCTATTTGTGATTCCAATTCCACCACTGATTCTTCTTTAGTGTTATTGTTACTTTGAGAGCCGCCCAAAACATCCTGACAAAGAGGAGATTGACTTGAAGATATGTTATTTGAGTTAATCCCCTCTCTTTCAGATGCACCATTATCTCTATGTAAGCTGGAGCCTTCAGAAGATTTTCCAACACTTTCATTAACCTTCTCAAAGCCAGAACACTTTTGGCTCGTTATGTTGTCAAGCTTTTCCTGTAAACTAATCAACTCTTTTGCCACAGATTTCCTGACATCTCGTACACTTTCATGCAATCCCTGGAACTCAAAAAAGTAAGCATAACTTATGTGATAAAAATATATATGGTGACTAATTTAAAACATAAGTGGAAGACATGCCAAGAAAAAGGAAATGATGTAAAGGAAAAGAAGAAAATAAGCCAATTGTATACCTGTATAGAATCCAGCTTCAGCAGCAGATTCATTATCGTCTCCCCAATAGCTACTTTCTCCTTGTCTTCTATGGCACGAGACTCGAGATCTTTAACAAGGTTTTTTACCAGAATGGCCTCTTCGTGAACTTTGGCAATGTGTTTGAGCTTTTTTATTGGTTCCCATCTTCTAACATTATATCCACGATATGCAGACTGTATAACAACAGCTGCTTCCATATCTGACATGAATTTTCTCTTCTGATTGCTTTCTTGCTTAGATCCACCAGCAATTGCTGCCTGTGGTCCTTTTGATTGCACCTTATCAACACTACCCTTCTTATCTTCTGGTTTATCAATATCAGCCTGTTGCATTACCATATTCTCTGCACTGGTTAGCTCATCTTTCAAATTTTGTGAGCCTTCTTTTGTGTCACCTGCACCATAAGGTTTACTTTTATTCTGGCCAAGCACCTTCTCCTCTACATCCTTGACTTTTATCTCTAAATTTGGTTGCTTATTATCTTTCACGGAGCTGGGCTCCTGAAAAATTTGTCGCTTTTTGTCACCGGGTGGACTAGTAGACCTTGAGCTTCCATTGCCATTTTTTTTCTTTGGTGGATCAACCCTCAAGCAAATTGGAGGAAGCTTAGACTTCTTAGTGGACTGCTTGCTGGTACAATTTTTTGCTGAGTCCTGACTTGCTTTGCTCACTGGTGCTCCATCAACCTTATGATCATCATCTTTCTTTGACAACTTGTCAACAGACTCATCCAACTGCTTTACGGGGATGATTCTCACGTTACTCTTTTTTTCAGTCCCCTGAGTTCCAACTGTACTGCCATCATCTCCTGCTTTAGTCCTCCCTTTCTCTGCTTCATTATCAATGTGCTCTAGTTTTCTGGGTACATCATTAAAAGCAGGAGACTCTTCAGCAGTGGTTTTCCCTGCAAATCTATTCTCCCAGCCCTTTAAATAATCCTCCATCTGGCCATTATTAGGAATCCATATGACAGGGTATTGCTTACTTAGATCTTTGTTTTCCACATCACGAGCATTCTTTTCACCCAGGTTTCTGCTTTCTTGGTCATCACTTTTCATCACATCTCCACCATTCATAAGTTGTTTAATTCTACTCATGTCCAATGGAAACCATCCATTCCTTGTATTTGGATTTTGTTCAATTGATTGCACATTCTGGTAAGGTGTCCTACCAGATGCAGAGCCTTCAATTTCGTTCCGGCTTCTGTTCTCTTGGCCACGACTGTGCATCGCATCTCCACCATCCATTAGCTGTTTGATGCGGTTTAAGTCCAATGGGAACCATCCATTCCTTACATTTGGATCTTGTTCTGCTGGTTGTACATCCTGGTGAGGCTTCCTGTTTAGAAAGCCTTCATTATCCTGTGCTTCTGTCTCATTAGGTCCCCATTGCACCAGAGGCTTCTTCGAGTACGGAAATACTTGTCCACTGGCCTCATTTTCCACCAACCTTCTCGGCTGCTCTTTGTTCATCAAATATTCAGGTGGAATCCACATGATTGGAGATTGAAAGTTTTTTGCACCAGCAGGCAACAATGATTCAGATCTCTTCGCCTCAACATCTGGCTCATGCTCTTCAATCTTGACACTATTCCGTCCTTTCATGTGGCATGGATGATTTGAACATTCACAGCAATGATGTTGATCTCTCGATACACTCTTTTCATATTCATATTTCGGTAGCTCCATGGAATAATTTGGAGGTGGGGCATAGTACATAGGGTGAAATTGAGGGTAAGGAGGATAGCCACCACAAAAGTGATTGTAAGTTGGTGGTGGTGGTGGGAAATGAGAGCAGGGTGGTCTGAAATTGTAATAAGTAGGATGCTGACCATGAGAGCAGCAACTATGGCACTGCATCGGAGCTGGATAACCGTAATTGGGAGGCAAATACTCAGGCATGCAAGAGGAGCTTGGTGGGTCTTCCTTCATTTGAGGAACACCTTCCCAGCTTGGGTGATAATACTGAGTAGAAGGCATTTGATTTGTCTGATAAGGGTAAGAATTCATGCCTCTGTAAACTGGATTCATCTTTACCAGCTTGTTTAAGACGAAACCTTGCTAGTCTAGTAGATATGCTACCAAAACAGCTGCAACAAGAACAAACAGCAGAACTGTGAGTAAATAAATTAACAAGTATGAGGATCACAAAGCACTTTTAACAGTTAACATGAGCAAATTATATATCCAAATGCAAGTGTGTTAATGCATACTGAGAAAAAAAGAGCACCTTAGCAAAACTATATTGACTATTCAGGTATCTAGGCCATGTAACACCAGAACTCCAAGCTATGTGACCATGTGAATTTGCTACCTAATGCATCAGGTAACATAATCTCTAACCTTGATGGGAATGGTAACTAAAAACAAGAGCTAGGAATCACTGAGCAGCTTAAGACATGCTCATCATTATTGCTTCAAAGTATAGGGTGTAAAATAATACATACAACTATACAAGTAGTACTACACGTCTACACCTCTAAGTACTCCGAGCTAGGGCTGTCCCTATAGTTTTACTCTGCTATAGTTGAATGGTACCCGCACTCTTCCCATCACTCAAATAAGAGAAGGATGATCATAATAATTCGACCACAAATCATAACAATCTCATATAAGATGACAACCTCTGCTGTAACTCTTGAATTCAGACAGATAGAATACATTTGATACTAGGTTCTTAACTTTTCCCATAACAATAAACTTAAACCCAATGGACGAAAATTTCCAAGGTACCAACTTAACCATAAATAAACTAATCTTAAATCTTCCACCGGATACTAATCAACATCAATCCATATTATTATTACATATTTGAATCAACCTTATACTCCATGGTACCAAATCATATCAACACTGTATTTTATGCACAATCATGACAATTCAGAAGGTAATTTTGCTGGTTTCAATGGTACTTTCCTATCTAATATACATTCAATCAAACATCAAAACTTTGAGAAACCCAATGATCACCCAAAATTCATTATTTCTTCAGCACCAATGTTCAACCACCCTCATTTGCACAATTTGGGAATTGAACCTGTTGAGTATAACTAATTTGCCAGTACAAAATTGAGTAAGGGCATATAATTTGCTACCTAGTATTGTTAAATTAAGCCAAAACTTATCAAATTCAGGTATTAATATGGCTTTTTGGTTCACCGACAATAGAAAATTAGTTAATCACTAATCAACAATATACAATCATATAGAAGAAAATGAAATTGAATACATCATCAATAGAAACATAATTAACAGCATTTCTAATCTAAAATCAAAATGCAGCATTGTAAATAAAATTTAATCGCCAAAAACAAAAACAAAATCAAGAGAAAACTTACAGCTTGTTTACAAACCGCCAAACGATCCGCAATTCCCAATTACTCAGTTAACAGTGTAAAATCAGTCCACAAACCCAGAACAATTAGGTTGAAGCTTTGCTACGAGCTCTTTGAATTTTGTGATTTGCAGAAAAATCTGAAGTTTTTTTTTCCCCAGTAATAAGAAATGGATTCTTCTGGAGAGTGTTTAAATACTGACATGATGGAGTAGAAGAAGGAGCGCGAAAGACAGAGATTCAACCGTTAAGGTGATTCCAGATTATTCCCGCAACTTTTGCTTCTGGATTTTTCGTTGTCACATCACATGCCCTTCTAGAATTATAAACTAGCCCCACCATTTTATTTTGTGACATTATTTTTGAATTTTTTTTTTTTTTGAAACAATATTTGAAGCATATTTTGTGACATCTTAGGGTTTATTTGGCATCTTTTTTTTTCAATTTTCTGTTTTTAAAATTAAAAACAAAAAATAGGAAACAAGAAAAAAGTGTTTTCACCTATCTAATTAAACTCTCAGAGTATATTACACACATATTTCGACAATTTTTATTTATGGGTGAAAAAAAGGTCAAAAAATTCCAAAATTGAAGGCTAATATCCACGTTTTTTGAGAAATTTTTTAGGTTTCGAAGTCTGGTGTCGAAAAACTTTGAGATTTTAGGGAATACATCACGGGGTCATATAATAATGTTTTAAACCATAAACGATTATTATATGTTGTCATAAATGTTTGTGGTAGGCTTTAATTAATGAGATCGGTGCAAGTCATAAATGGTAAATTCGCCAATTAAAGGAAAATTAGATGTTTTCACCTACCTAATTAGACTCCCGAATTGTATTAAGTACCATGGTAAACATTTCGGCAATTTTTAATTAGAGGCTAAAAAAGTCAAAAAAATTCCAAAATTTAAAGCTTTTATCCACGTTTTTTGAGAAATTTTGGAGGTTTCGAGACTCGGTATCGAAAATCCTTGAGATTTTAGGGGAGACATATCGGGGTCATATAATGCCGTTTGGAACCATATATGATCATTATATATTGTCATAAATGTTCGTAGTAGTTTTGAGTTAATGAAATCGGTGCAAGTTGTAAACCGGTAAATTGACCGTTCAAAGTCAAATTGGATGGTTCCATCCATCCAATTGGACTCCCGGAGGGTATTAGGGACCATGTAAACATTTTGGCAATTTTAATTTTCGAGCGAAAAAAGTAAAAAAAAAAATCCAAAATTGAAGACATATCCACGCATTTTGCGAAATTTTGAAGGTTTCGGGACTCGATGTCGAAAAGTCTTGAAATTCCTGGGAATACATCTTGGTGTCATATAACGCCATTTGGAATCATATATGATTATTATATGTTTTCATAAATGTTTGTGGTAGGCTTGAGTTAATGAAATCGATCGATGCAAGTTGCTTTAAAGCCTTTATGAAACCCTAAAATTTAAAGCTTTTATCCACGTTTTTTGAGAAATTTTTTAGATTTCGGGGCCGGTGTCGAAAAGCCTTTAGATTTTAGGGGATACATCTCAGGGTCATATAATGCCGTTTGGAACCATATATGGTGTCATAAATGTTTGTGGTAGACTTGAGTTAATGAAATCGGCGCAAGTTGTAAACCGGTAAATTGGTCGTTTAAAGGCAAATTGCATGGTTCCACCCACCCAATCGGACTCCTGGAGGGTATTAAAGACTATGGTAAACATTTCGGCAATTTTTATTTATGGGCGAAAAAAAGTCAAAAAAATTCAAAAATTGAAGGATATATCCATGCTTTTTGAGAATTTTTGGAGTTTTCGTGGCCCGGTGCCGAAAAGTATTGAAATTTTAGGAAATAGATCTCGGGGTCATATAATGTCGTTTGGAACCATATATGATCATTATTTGTTGTCATAAATGTTCGTGGTAGGCTTGAATTAATGAAATATGTGTAAGTTGTAAACCGGTAAATTGGTCGCTTAAAGGCAAATTGGATGGTTCCACCCACCCAATTGGACTCTCGGAGGGTATTTGGACCATGGTATTCATTTTGACATTTTTTATATCCGGGAAAAAAAAGTCAAAAAATTCCAAAATTGAAGGCTAATATCCACGTTTTTTTGAGAAATTTCAAATGTTTCGGGGCCCGGTGTCGAAAAAAATGAGATTTTAGGGAATAAATCTCGGGGTCATATAATTCCGTTTGGATCCATATATTATGATTATATGTTGTCATAAATGTTCGTGGTAAGGTTGAGTTAATGAAATTGGTGCAAGTTGTAAACCGGTAAATTGGTCTTTTAAAGGCAAATTGGATGTTTCCACCCAGCCAATTGTACTCTCAGAGGGTATTAGGGACCATGGTAAACATTTCGGCAATTTTTATTTCTAGGTGAAAAAAGGTCAAAAAATTCCAAAATTGAAGGCTAATATCCACGTTTTTTGAGAAATTTTGGAGGTTTCGAGTGGAGCTGTCAATTCGGGCAAACGGGTCGGTTTTCGGTCGATAAGAGTAGGTCAGTTCAACTTGGATCGGGTCAATTCGGATTAATTTTAAAACCTATGTGGGTCGAGTTTGGGTTGGGGTCATGCTTGAGTCGGGTCATGTCGGGTAATATTTCTTATAGGGTTTAGGTCGGGTTAATACAGGTCGGGTGACATTCGGGTTGGGTGAACAATAGGTCGGGTTTTCATGGGTTAAAACGGGTTAGTTTAATTCTCGAGTTTGAGTCAAGTTCGGTTCAAGTCAATAATTTGCGGGTTAGAATCAGGTCGGGTCATTCTCGGGTTTGAGTCGGGTTCGGTTCAAGTCAATAATTTTCGGATTATAATCAAGTCGGGTCATTTTCAAGTCGGGTTCGGTTCAAGTCAATAATTTGCGGGTTATAACACTACTAGAAATGGGCCAATTTCCGACTGAATTATGCCGACAGACATGATTTTCCGTCGCAAATCCTATAAGCAACGACGGATTTAAGTTTGACGTTAATTTCGGTCGGAAAACATAGTTTCCGACGGAAAATTCCTCGCAAATTTTCCGACGGAATTAATTTCGGTCGGAAACTATATTTTCCGACGAAATTAATTTCGTCGGAAAATTAATTAGACAAAAGTCAAGGGTTTGGATTTTTGAATCCATTTGCTACGAAAGAAAGAGAGAGGAAGAAAGAGAGAGGAACGAAAGAAAGAAGAAAGAGGAGATCCGCCGCCGTCGAAGAGGAAACGTCGCCCAGCCGTTCGCCGCAGCCGGAGATCCGCCCTTCCGTTGGTCGGCCGCCGGTAAGTGTAGGTTTTGTTTTTTTTTTTTTTTAAAAAAAAAAAATATAAACACGCCTCCACTAACCACCGTCTGCAACAGCCACCACTGCGCCGGTCAGAGGTCCCGCGTCGCCCAACCACGCAGTTCTCCGCCGCCGGTAAGTGTTGTTTTGTGTTTTGTTTTTTTTTTTACTTTTATTTTTAAATTTTAGTCTGAAAATGCAACCATTGCTTTGTACAGCCACCACCGCCGGCGCCTTTACAATCAGCCACTACCGCCGGTATCTTTTGCTTTTTTTTATTTTTTTTTTAATTTCTGGTTATTTATTTATTATTTTAAAATTTTCTGTTTTTTTAATGAAACCCTAACCACCACCACCCATTTTGGACAGGTTCCTCCTCCAATATTGTCCTCGCTCCGACCAGAACCACCACCATCTTCACCACCCGCCGTTCTACAGCCGGTAATTGTACATTTATTATATATATTTTATTTTTTAAAAAATAATTGTACCTTTATTATAAAAATTGACATATTAATTTTTACTATTTATAGGATTTGAACATTTACTTGCTTTGAATCTCAATAAATAGTGCAGATCTTGAGGTTAGTGACATGACATTTTTAAAAATTCTTAGTTTAGTTTATTTTGTGATAATTTTAAGTTACTTTAGTTTGGTTTATTTTATTATAATAATGGTTCTATCCCAATCTCAGGGGACTTCCTTCAATTATCATATCCTGACTCTCATTAGAATAAATGATATGTTAGTTTAATTTGGCTTATCATAATAATGTAAGACATGACATGTGAAATTGCTTTGATTTAGTATAATAATGTATGACATGATATGTTAGTTTAGGTTGATATTTTATTATAATAATGTACGGGATTATATGTTAGTTTATATTGGTTTTGTTTAGTATAATGATGTATGTTAGCTTAGTTTAATTTGTGATAATTTTATAATGTATATTAGTTTTGTTTTATTTAATGTAATGTTCACTAGTTTTGTTTAGTTAATGTAATGATTAATAATTTTTTGTATCAATTTAATTATGAATATAAATTGTTTACATATGATTATTTATATTAATTAAATGATGATTATGATATATTTGGTTTACTTATAATTATTAATTTAATTTAATTAATTGTGTTCTTTACTTTATAATGGTTGTGATATTTGCTTGACATATTTTAAAATGAGCGTGTTATAATGATGGATGTGTTATAATGAATGTGTTATAACAATGGATGTGTTTTTGGCTTTATATACTTTTGAATGAATCATTTGCATAATCATTTGCCTAGATACCCGTTCAAGTCATAATCATTAGGAGTATGTCTTGAATAGTCCCCGGTTGGGACTGTCCTTAGACGTTTATTCTCACTTAGGTGGTGAATGTATGCCTTGTTATTGATTCTAGGGATTATCCTGCTTTGTCATTTCTCTACAATGTTCTCTGGGTTAGGTTGGAGTGATAAGGACCTTTGGACATCATTTACAATCTTATTTTCATATTCATAACATTTTTATGGATAATGAATATTCAATACGCATTGTGACTAATGTAATTATACATATTCGTGAGTTGTGTAGAAGTTGTAATCATGAAACGAACAGAACGTAGCTGGATGTATGAAAGGAAGGTTGGACATTCTATTAATCCGGATTTTGTGAAAGGCGTAGATGAATTCCTTAAATACGTGGAAGATCATCCCGAGAGCAGCAACCCGAATGAAGTTAGGTGTCCATGTTTTAAATGTAAGAACAAGCGGCTATGGGATGCGGAAACGGTTAAAATTCATTTGTACCGCAAGGGTTTTGTGCCTAATTACTATGAGTGGATGTGTCATGGGGAAGGGTTTCCGGGAGTTCCTAAAGGGTCGTCAAATGAATATCGTGAAATGGTTTTCGATGCTTTTGGTCATAATGAAGATTAAGGGCATTCTGAAGAGGCAGAGAAGGAGCCTAATGCACAAGCTAAGAATTTCTTGGATTTGTTAAAAGCTTCCGAACAACCATTATACGAAGGGAGTTCGTTGTCTGTCTTAGAGATGGCTGGCCGAATTACTAGTCTTAAGTGCGAGTATAATTTGCCCCATAGATGTGTTGATGGGTTTGCTTCTTTGGTCAATGAGGCTATTCCTAACAACAACCATATGGCCGATACATTCTATGAGGTGAAGA